TAAAAAAAAAATGCTAGATAACAGTGTTACTGAGAAAATCTAGGTTTGTCTGGGAAGCTAATTCTGATCAATTTGACACCAAAGAGGATTTTATTTTATCTGAGCATCCCGGCAATGACACTAAGGAAATTTCCTATACCTTTGGTTTGGCTCTATGAAACTGACTTACAATGAGTCTGGGTATCCCTCTTATTACTTTGAAAGTGTAGGATAATGGAGAATAACATTAAAGTTTTCCAGTTTCCTTTTGTTTCATAAATCAGTAACTAAAATTATTGTGAAGGGGGCGCCTGGGTGGCTCAGTGGGTTAAAGCCTCTGCCTTCGGCTAGAGTCATGATCCCAGGGTCCTGGGATCAAACCCACATCAGGCTCTCTGCTCAGCGGGGAGCCTGCTTCCTCCTCTCTCTCTGCCTGCCTCTCTGCCTACTTGTGATTTCTGTCTGCTAAATAAATTAAAAAAAAAAAAATCTTGTGAAGCTTCTTAGATTCTCCTTAGAGAATCTTCTCATAGCACGATTTGCTTCTGGTTCATGGAAGTTCCATATAGCAAGCTCACTTTTGAGGAAGACTTACACTGTGGTCAATCTAGGTTGCCCAGGTTGTGTGATAGGATGGACTAAAACCCCATTCCCAACAAGGAGTATATCAGTGCTGTTTTTCTGTAGATTGCATAATTTCTTGTAAAAATCCTTAGCTTGTATGCACTCATGTCAGAACTTTGATTCCAGATGGCTATTTCCAATATGCCATCTATATATATGCCTTAAAATACTACTCTGATCTCTTCTTCCTTCTCCCAGCCAATGAATTATTTATAATTCTTTTCATAAAGAGATAATCATCTAAAGAGCTTTCTCAAAGGTGGCAAAACTAAAAAGTAAATTAGTTTTATGATTTCAAAAAATCAGCTGACTATTCATTTATTATAATGTTTTCAGACTACTTTAGACTCTCAAAGGAAGAATAATAGTCCAGGATAGTGCTATAAGGTTTCCTTTATGGACAGAGTAAGCCATTTAATCTTGACAGACTCAACTGTTTTTGATTTTCTGCCATGGATATCCATCAAAGAAATAGTAGTTGTGATTAATAGCATTTTGTCCACTAACCAAAAGCATTTACAGTGTATACCTGGAATATATTCCAAAACGGAGGATAACATTACAGCTTTAAAAAGTTCAACAACCCAAAAAAAATCAATATCAGTTGGAAGAAAAAGCTTTTATGAAGATACTTCTAAGACACATGGAAAATAAATTTTTAGATTTTTTGTTAGTTTTAAGAAAAAGTAGAAGAAAAACCTTCAGGAGAAGGTTTTTTTCCCCCATTTTAAGATGAACAGCATTCTAGGTATTTACTTATCAATGTCTATGTTCAAAATATGTAGAAGATTCTCTGAAATTGAATAGAGCATTGTAAATTTTTTATTAGCTAAAAAGAACCTACCACCGCCACTTATTTTCTGCCATCAAGCTAAAAATTCTAGAATGGTGAGGGCAGCAGGGCAGGTAGAGTGCTACACACCTAGAAAAACAGTGGTATCCAAATACAGACTCTATGTTTTCATAACAAAGTCACAGAGTTCCTCTCTGCACATAGAGACCCATGAGACAAAAGCAAAACTGAGAAGAGAGGTGATGGGCTAACGTGCTCCTCAAGCAGACTTGCAAACAGATTAGCTCCGAGGAGAATTCTTGCAAAAATTATCAACCTAGAAAAATGTGCCAGATGGATACATGTAGGAAAGGCAAAGCAAAATGAAAATATCATTGTATAGAGCATATGTTTGCTCGTTGATTCATTCAATTATGCATTTATTTATTCAGTCCACAAATACGTACAAAATTCCAATAACCAGAAAGGCACTGGGCTTAAGCAATAAAAAATGATCTCCAGCCTCCTAGAGGGGAAGAGAATTTACATTTGTTGAAGGCAAACTGTGGCCAGGGGCTGTGTGTAACTTAGTCAACTCTGTCAAAGTTTTTTTTACATTCCTCCTTTCATGTCTGGGGAAGCTGAACCTCACAGAGTTAGAGAGGTTGTTCGAGGTCATGCAGATAGCAAGTGGCAGAGTTGAGACCTCCAGACTCGCTTTGTCTCCGTAGCCCACTACCCCACAGTGTCCGTCATCTGGCAGGAAAGCCAGAAACACGCATAGTGGCCCATAACACAGGCCAGAGACGGGGACGACCCCAACGAGGGAGACGGAGGGGACCACTGGAGGAGCGCGCAGGAGGAAGCTGTTCATCCTGCTGGCCTCCAACTTGCCACTCCTGGTCCAGAGAAGCTGGCACTGGAGCTGGGCCTTGGAGACAAATGCGGAGGAGAGTTTTAGGTACAGACACGCAAGTGCATTGCAGGTTGAGGAAACAGCTACGGTCTCACGTGGCTGGAAACCGTGTTTCACTTGCTTTATTTGTACTACAGTTTTGAATTTTAGGTTATTTGGCAGCAGACCCGGACAGTGCCGCGGCCAGCAATCATTGTAATACAATGAGTCTCACAGGCTTTGGAGTTAGAATAGAGGCTTTGAATCTCGGCTCTGCCACCTGCCACTTGGGGGAACTGGAAAATCATGTAAGCCTGGTTTGATTAAATGGGGAGAATCAGCAGGAGGCTATTCTAAGGAGAAAATGAATTGATATATACGTAAAGTGCTTAGGTGAGTTTATAGCACAAGGTTTACACTCACTAAATGGGCTGTTGCGAATTCTACATCACAGTGATACGAGAGTATCTCTAGCAGCGTTCAGTTACTGCGGATTCTCTTGCGTTTTGTACCACGGTGCGTCTGAACAGCACTCTGCTATGTAGTACTGACTGAGCTCTCCTCGGTACTCACAAGGCACACCTTTGGCAATATTCTCTCTCTTTCCTGCCGGCTTGCTGCTTTTTGGGTTTCCTCTACTCTCAACAGACAGAATCTTCTTTACCGCATTGCAGGACCCACTTGACCTAATGTACAATTTGGCAGATATCACAGAATAACGTGTACACTGAGGTTCAGCAAAGACTATTTTACCCACTCATCACTTCGACTGCACATAGAGGGAGGATCCAGTGTGCCCTCGCCTAGTGGTTGAGAACCAGTGGTACAGAGTGGGCTACACTGGGGTTGGGGGAAGGGTGGCAGGAGAAGTCAGCCAGGTTACGGTCAGAATGGAAAGGAACCTAAATACCATGCTGGGGGATTTGGTCTTGATCCTGTAGAACTGGAGAGCCAGGGGAAAAATGAAAGTGGATGGACAGACGGAATGGTCCCCACACCCCACCCTGCCATTCCTATGTTAAAGCCCTAAATCCCATGTGTAACTGTATTCTGAGATAGGGCCTTTAGGGGGGTAATTAAGGTTAAATGAGGTCACAAAGGTGGGGCTCTAATATAATAGGACTAGTGTCCTTATAAGAGGAGGAAGAGACACTAGAGTTTTCTCCCTGCGCCATGTGAAGACCCAGCGAGAAGCCGGCCATCAACAGGCTAGGAAGAGAGGATCAGAAACCAGCTATGATGGCATCGTGATCGCGGACTCTCAGCACTCAGAACCGGAAGAACATAAAATTCTGTTGTTCATGCTAACCAGGCTGTGGTATTTCACGACTGCGGCCCGAGCACCCTAATGCAGAAGGAGTCAGAAATGACTGGACTTGGGTGTTAGGAAGCTAACTTGTGCACTGTGGGCACTGCTGTGCATAATCTTTGTTCAACTCAATATATTCTTTGAAATTCAGCTCCTTTGGGAAGATTTCTTGATTCCTTAAGTTTCATTTTGATGTTCTTCAATGTGTTTCCATAGTAGTGTGACCATATACATCTGTCGTAATAAAGTATCATAATTCTTGACTTCAATTGACTGTCTCTCCCACCAGACTATAAACTCTTTGAGATCAAGGACCGCATGTTATCTTTGCATTCCCAGCATCTAGTATGGTACTTGGCACTTGGTACTTCTCAATCAATATCTATAGAATTAAGTAATTAATATAGAAGAACCCGGGGCAAGGAAGCCAGTTCTAATAGGCCATTAGCAGAACAGCCACTTGTAACTCACATCATTTTAATTGTTTGACAAAACATGATAAGAATTGACAATAGTGTCTTTAGTTTTTTATTTCTAATCTCTTCCAAAAATGGAATGATTTTTACATCACTAAAAATTCGTTTCCATCCTACCCATTAAGTCCCAGTATAAATACATAGTTCCCAATATCCTCAAGAATGAAGCAAATGCTATTTAAAATTACTTCATTTGTTTGGAGGAATCACCAATAGTCTGTAAAGTGAATTAATGTGATCGGCAAACACAAATGCATTGTTCCGTAATCTATGTAGAATTCCCGACAAGTCTTTCTGAGTTTGCCAGAATATCCAATGATTAAAGACATTAGGCCTAACTGAATCTTCTATCTTTGCTTTTATAGTATAAGAACAGTTATAGGGATGGAACTTACCCATTAACCAAACAAAGTGTTCCTATAAATCACTGAATGAACTGCAGAGTTAAGTCTGTGTCTATGTCATGAAAAGCAAACAAGGGCTGTTGCCAAAAAGAGATGTGTTCAGTTGATTTGATGATACTAATTTGTTGAATTTCAGCCTTTAGTCAAAATGGTCCTAGGTGACAGGCTCATTCCTCCGATCTTTTAATATTGACCTAGTAAGATGGTCAGTCCTTTTGATTTTTCCAGTTATTACAATGTTCTTAGAACACTGTATATGGTTTGGGGCTTTACTGGATGGAAGGTGTGTGAATTCATTTCCCCCCATTTTCCTCTGATTCTCTTATTCCTGTATATCCTTGGGGTGAGAATAGCCAAAATTTAATACAATTTTTTAACCCTCAATTAAAATTCAAATAAAAGTTCTCTAACAGCTCAAGCTGATGTACCAGAAGTAGAAATATTTTACATATATGTGTTTAAAAATAATAACTGGGATTATTTAGAAAATAATGATGAATTTCTAATGAAAATCAGATTACCTTCTGAAATATTAGCCTACCTTTTGGAGATACTTTTTTTTCTCCTCAGATTCCTCAATCTTTCTGGTTTCAGCAGTGACATCTATAGTCTCTAAAAGAAATAAAATGGAATTCAATCTGAAATAATGTTGTCATGATGTTATAATAATGTTGATATAAACTTGGATAAATGTTAAAAGGTAACAGAGTAGCAAGGGAAACACAAATATGTACTGTCCTGAAATTTTACAAACCAGATTCTTAAATAATTGGAGACTAAAGTAATTAGCTGTGGCCAAAGGGAACCTCTAATCTCCTTAGGAGAGGAGTAAGGCTGAGTCCAGAGACAAGAAGAGGTCTCTGGAGAGAACATATTTGCAGTAAAAGAGTTTCCAATTTCTACAGTTCTATTCAACATGTTAGGGGGATTTCGACATTCACCTCTGGATAAGTAGGATGGTCTCTGAGATAGGGTTTTGGTATGCAATTCAGAAAGTTATACCAATGTGTAAAGAGGACTCCTTATACTTATTACCTATTTTCTGGAGGATCTAGGAATCAAGATGTTGAAATGCATGAGACTTGGTACTTACTGTTTTTCTCAAGACTAAAAGGCTGGAAGTAAATTTTCTTTAAAAAAAAAATACAAAAGGGAAGTGAAGAAATTATTGGAAAGACCATAGAATTAAAGATATTTAAGCTTTCTAAAAAAGAGAGAGTTATCTGAGCCTCCTATACCTATAAAAATTGCATAATAACAGTTTCTGTATCTTTGGGTTACTGAGGTTTTACAGGTTTGGGAACTTGGTTCCTAATATTGATTCTGCTTTCAACTTTCTCTGAGGCTTTCATGCTTGAACTTGATTATGTAAACAACCACCCTTAACATCCTTTCAGTCAACATATAACATTTCCCCTAGATGCTTCTCTAAGTGTTTAGCCAAATGGATGCCATAACCTAGGGGTTACTTTCAGATGTGGTTTTAGATGTAACAAGTATACCACTGATGCTTTCCGGGTGGAAGAACTGCTGAAAATTTTAAAAAAAACTGCTTGTATAGGTTTTTAAAGTATTTGGAATGAAAGATTTCTATTTTAGAAGCAGGTTTAGCGGTTACTTGTGGGAGCGGCTCTGGTATCTTCCAGAGGTTGGTTATTGCTGATGGAGGCAGGAACCAGCGGCCGAAGGCAGCTACTCACCCTGTGGACGGCGCCTAGAGGGCCGGGCCACTGGCAGGCGCTGACTGCTACCTCGGGGCAGCACGAGCTGCGATTCGTTAGGAGGGTACAGGGACGCGGCGATCCAGAACTGCTTGGCCAAGGTGGAGTCCTGTTCTGAAGATCCGGTGAACACCAGTAGTCCCTGGGGGCAAATTTCAACGGACTCCCGGTGGCTGGGAAGCCTTCCGCAGGCCCTCGTTTCCATGGCAACTGGGGACGCTTCTCTGCGTTCCCTCGCTCTTCTCCCAGCCCCGCCCTGCAAAGAACCGTCCCGTTGGCAACCACCACCGCCAGAAGCCCTTCGATTCCAGGAGAGATGCTGGGGTCCAGCGCGTGCCTGCGGGCTATCTGAAGCCCCCTTCTGCGGTCTCACAGGCTTCGGGACCCATCCAAGCCTCGGAGACGAGATAGGAACTGTCAAAACATCAGGTTTGGGGTGGTTCTTGTCCTGTTGGGAGTTAGTAGGGGGCACTTGAGCTCACAGCATCTCAGTCAGCCTTCATCCTCTCCCCCAACCCGGCTTCCTTACCCCCAAATATATCTAAATAAAGCTTTTCAACCCTTAGTCCTACCACCCCAACCCACCTCTCCTTCCACACCAGACTGCCACAGCTCAGCACGCCCTATGTGGGCAGCGGTTGGAGAATTCAATAGGGCAGCTAACATCCTAGCCTATGGGAGTCAGGGCACTGAACTGGCCGAGAAGTACCTGTGGATAAACTTTTTGTTGTGTATTCCCCCCTGCCCCATCCTTTAAGAGCAATCTCATGTAAGATGCTGGATTTAGATTGTAAGTGCATTTACTAACCTGTCCCACTAAAAGCTGCTTGCTCTGCAACTGTCCTAAATGGGCACTTAAAAGGACTGTATCTGATGTGTGGACTCAGTCCCTTCCTGAAAAATAAATTATGAGAAATGTTCATGTATTCTTATAAAAATATTAATAAGTGTGAGTGAATAACTTTGCTGCTCCCAGGAAAGTTAATCTCATTAATCTAGGAACACTCTAACCATTCCAGCCATAGCAAAGTTGTAATTACTGTGGCAAGAATGGAGACGGACATCAGAAAGCCAACTCAGGAAAGGTTAGTAACCACAATTTATGACCTCATGGCACTTTATTCTTTCAAAATACTAATACAGTCTCATAGTTGAAACGTGGATAATCACAAGTCTATACAATGACATAGATCAGTGAAGGAAAAAATCCTATTTCCCAATATATCTAAAAAATTTTTTTTGGTTAAGAGCCTGAAGGAAATTGGTAAATTATAAAGACATACAAATTATACATTGTGTATTTAGCTGCTAAAATGCTGATTTTTTCCTGTTAATGGGCAATGGGTAATATTGGAGCATTTCCAAACCCCACGCTCCCCCAACACAATGATGTACACAGACAACTCATTTGGATGATTCCCAAATCTTTTTACTTGGCCGTGTGGTTAGTGATTGGTACTATTAGCAATCAGCTAACTACACTGCCTAGTAACTAGACTCACAGAAAAAAGTTTACTTCCGTCACGCACTGCAGTCCCAAGTTGGTGCCCCATACGCTGTGATAGACAAACCTTACTGGTTCATGGTTCAACGGGAGCTCCCTTTAGTTGGTGGGTTGGCGAATACCTTACTAAATAATGAAAAAGGGACAATGAATCACACCGTACAGCATTAAACGTTACCTAGGGGACTCCTCCCCGAAGTCTGAATTGTCATTACAGCGCACAATTAAAGCCATTAAACTTTACACTTGTCGCTCTCCTTGCAGGCGGGTTGCCCGTCCTGCCCCGGCTCCCCGCGCAGCTGACCGTTTAACTGCATCTAGCGGCAGCCGTCGGGCTGCTGCGCCCGAGCGTCCTCGCAGGTTGACAACGTGCCCGGCGCGCAGCCCGGCGGCAGCAAGCGCTGACGCATCACATCTCCAAGCGCGGCTTCCTCCCAACGCCCGCTGGGCTTGGCCGTTTGCTGCCGAGCGTGGCGTCCTCCTGCCCGCGGGGCGGCGGGTGATGCTGTGCCTTGTTTTGATGGCAGTGGCGTTAGTGATTGTAAGCAGCAGAGTACAATCAGCTAATTACACTGCCTACAAACCGAGCACCGGGCGCCCGCGGGCTGCAGCTCCCGGACGGTCGGCGGCGCCAAGCCGTGGCCCCCAGCCGGGGGACCGCGGGCTCCGGGCCCCGTCTCCCCCCGGGCGATGCCCGACGATGCCTGGGCGCGAGGACGTGGGCGCGGGGCCCCCGGGGACGCCCCGGGCCCAGCCGGCATCCTCGCCGGGCCCGCGGGCTGAGCTGGCCCCTGCCGGACCCCCGCGCACACTTGGCGTGGCAAGGCCAGCCGGCGGCGCTCCGAGGGGACCTGCACCCCCGGGCCGCGTCCCCCCAACTCCAGGTGTTCCCGGGTTCATCCCAGCCGCCGCCGTCCCCGCGCCGGTCCCCCCTGCCTTCCAGGGCCCGCCCCCGCAGGTTCCCTTCTCGGGTCCTTCCCTCTATGCTTTCTTGGGTCGGGCTCCCACCTTCTCACTCCCACGTCCTTTCCGCCCCAGAAAACTTCTCTTCAGTCCCCAGCCCAAACCCTAAAGTCGGCTTTCTCCACCCCGTGCGCCCCGCAGCTCGGTGTGGCCGAGTGACCCTGGCGGTGGCTGGCCAACCGCCCTTGGAACCCCGTGGCGGAGGGGGCGGGGCGCGCGCGAGGTGGGGTGGAGTGGAGGAGGGGCGGGATGGGGGAGGGGAGGAAGCCACAAGCTGGGGCCAAAGGCGGGTCTCTGCGGGGAAGAGGCCCTGGAGACCCAAGGCACAGATTCCTGAGAAGTTTCTCTTCCTTCTAGGGCAGGAGGGACAAAGCACTCCTTACCCCCACCCCTCCCCAAGAAGCCCCACACGCCCACCCAGTTTTCATGCCCATCTTGGTCAGGGGAAACAGCTTGGTCTGATACCAAATTGTAGGCTCTCATTTTCCAAACGGAGATAGGCCTGGGTGGCCTCTGGCATGTGGGACGACTGTGTTGGAGAGTCCCATCTGCACTCTCACCTTCCCCTTGGGTTTCTCTTAGACTCTTGGAGGGTCTTGCGGTGAGTGGAGGGTTGGCGCTTCTCATCAAATAGTGAGTGGACCAGCTCCTGAGTTAGATCAAAGCTTGGTCCTCACGCACTTATTTAAATACCTGCTATATATACTCCGGTTTCTCTTCAGATCGCATAAATCTTTCGCCTTTTAAATACCTGCTATATGTTCAGCACCTAAGGTCATTCATTCTACCCTCCATATGTATAATCTAGGTGGTAACACAATGGGAACACACATTTCTTACCACTCACGACGGTATATAATAAACCGTTAAACTGGGGAGAAATAGAAGTGGGGGTGGGGCGTCAGTGAGGACTGTAATTGTTAGGGAAGGTCCACCGAGGACCAGGAGCTCCAGTAGGTCCTCCAAGCAAGACTAAATTCAGGGTGAGGGTTGGGGAGACCAGAGAAACAAGGTCTTGTGACCAGTTACATTTTCTTCTCACAATTCCACATCTGATGGTGTAGATATATTTAGGTGTATTTGGACTAGACTGGACAAAAGAGGACAGTTCCAAAGAATTTCTGGGAGACCTCTACTAATACTTCTTTCCTTGAGTTACTCCTTCCCCTCTTTTCCTTCAGAGAATGTGTCAGGGTAGGATAAAGAATATTCTAATTCCACGCTTTGTGGAACTCAGTTGGAAGAAACCCTCCACTCTTGTCTTCATGCATCTGGTATAGAGCGCTCACTACTGACCCCAAGAACTTTGTTCTAAATTATTTTCCCCAGAGGAAAATTTCCCAGTTAGAGACGGATTCCCTAAACCCAGGAAATGGTTTCATAGATGCCACTGGTAGCATGAATTAGGGGCCGGTAATCTAGATCATTCAAAACAAATTCCAAACTCACATTATCAAACCACCAGAACTTCTCAAGGAGGAGTTCGAGTTACGGCATCCTCTTTCACGATGAAAGACAGCACTTTTTTTTTTTTTTTTTTTTTTTTTTTGCCACTTGCATGTATTCTGAGAACACCAAAGTGAAGAGTAAGACATTGAAGTATAAAATGTACAGTACAGAAAACATTAATTCTCGAGATGAACTTACAAAGTTAAGTTACAAAAGCCGGGTCATTTCTAACTATTTTTTCGTATTCATCTTATCTTTGGGAGAAGCGCGGTGTTGGAGAAACACACCACAGAAGGTCCCTCACACTTCTTTAACACGTACAGGATACCAAGCCGTACCAGGCAATATGCTGGAATCAGAGCTAAGTAACCAGAGAGCTCTCTAGAGGTAACTGTGGAACCAGTTTGTATCTTACAGCTACACAGACATACATACATAAATGCAGGAGTGAAATAGCTTCCATTCCATTAGCCATAGGCAGACTTACAAGTTTTGGTCAGGACATAATTACAAAAACAATCCTGTTTTTTTCAAATTGTTAGTCACTTTACCCAATACGATATTAAATACCTCTTCTGATGGACGTTTTATGATTATTAGTTGCATCTTAGCGTTTCTTACCCGGGCTGGAATGCTGCCTTCCAAGGTCGTGGTTGCAGTAGATGCCTTGAAATTTATATTTTTAAAGATTTTCTTCCAAGATAATTTAAAAAATAAAGACAATGTGTGTAAAAGTCATCAAGATGCATTGCATCCAGAAATCAATTTTTTAAAAATGCAGCCTATTTTGCAGGTCGTGCAACTAAAAGAAGTAAAATAATGAGAAAAAAATTTGTGTGTGGCCTTGTCCTGTGTGTGTGTGTGTATGTGTGTGCATGTGTTTTAAAAGAATGCTTGTTCTTAGGGTTGCTGTTGATTTGGCCTGTAGTTACTACAGAAACTCCAAGGATCTCATTCCCTTTATGGTTCATGTCTAGGCATGCCTGGAGACCAGGGAGACCCATGATTTAATCTAAGTAAGAATGCTTGTGGTGTTTTAAATGACCAAACAGAAGATTGCATTTGTTTTAGACAAAACCAGGAAGGTAACTTTCAGAGAGACTGTTTATTGTTTTATTGAATTTCTGGGCTTTTGGTGATTCGGGTGTTGGGAAAGGAGTGCCAAGGAGGGGAGATGAGGTTGATGATTAGGAACAGAAGAGTAGAGAACACACATACCTTCTGCTTTAGCTTTGGAGAATTTGTATTGGTTAAAGTTATCACTCCTTGAAAAAACACTAGAGTGATGG